ATGTCATTGCCTTCAATGTCGCCCATCAAAACCAGAGATTTTCCCATCCATTCCGTACATTCTAATAATATGCAACACTAACGAAAGTTAGAAAAGGGAATCAGGGGTGCGGTCCCACCAAGTGAAGCACACTATAAGAGGATGAGTCTAGGTGCGCCATAGTATGGTTCCATCTCAAAACTTATCACCGTAGCCCACTATGCTTATAAACTAGGCTCATTTACCCTATCAAATCAATGTGGGACGACTTACGAGTAATATTTCAACAAAGAAAAAGCAGACAAATGAGCCTATTTGAGATAAATTAAGTAAAATAGTTACCTGATGGTGAGTGACAAACATATTTGAGATGTTTTCTAAACCAATGCATTTGTTGGTTAAGAGGAACAGCATATGGTGGAATAACAATGTCGCGCAATTCGAAGAATTTGCGGTGGAGAACCGGGCTTCCTGCCACAGAGAATATCACCCCGTCATAGCTTGCCGCCTTCGATTGACTCATGTTCAGGTAGGGTTGAATATTTGGCAGCCCAAAATCCTCAGCTGCAGGTTACAAATATATAACCATTTGTATTATATATAATCGAAGTAATGGTAACAAAACCATAAGCGATATATAGTGAGCATTTTATTGTGTGTAATCTTATTTTTTTGTGATGATATTATAATTGTCATACCACTGAAGTCAAAATCGACGAGGCCGTCTGACCAACGACCAGTAGGAAAGCCGGGATAAGTCATGCCGTACGGCTTTCGCCCAGCCGGAATAGTGATCTTTGGAAGCACGTGAATGGAGTTGCCGATATCCGTGACCCCATCACCCCAATGGTATAAATAGTCGAAAGGGCAATTCCATCCTTCAGCTGAACTTGTCCCGATCTGAATCGCCAAGTGAAGGCAAACGATTGTGAACACGGTCGAGTGCATTTGGGCCTTCATGCTCGCTTCGTCTATCTTTAAGCTGTAACAATCAAGAGAATGAAAAGATGTTAAACAACATCAAATGAACAAGGATTAAATTGAAGCTTTAATTAGATATATTGTGCTTGTTTGTGTACCTTTGCTAGGAAAATGTGATGGTAAGAAGAAAGTGTGACTGTGGATGCACAAATGAGTGCAGTATTTATAGCCATGCAAGGCATTAATGGGGGGCAAATGAGCCTGCTCGGTTAACAACGGGATTGAGGACAATTTGGTCATTTCGTGTTGCATTGTTTTCTTTTTGCTTTTTTGTGAATGCAACGTGACAAATTTTCTGTATCATTCTCTAATAGTTTGTGCCAAAAAAATGGTTAATTAGCTAATTAATTTTACTTTTCTTTTTTAATAAATGTGATATTCTGTATCAATGCTTTTTTTTTAATGTTCTTCAATTCCAACGAAAAATTTCAACGGCAAAAATTTCGGTTGAAATTTCAATGAATATTCCAACAAACTTAATTTTATGTTGGAATAAGTGTTGGATGGTGGAGGAATTCCAACGTATTTTTTCCGTTGGAATAGTTATAGGAATTTATTTCCATAGGATTTTCCGTTGGATTTTAGTTATTCCAACGGCCGTTTTTCCCACGAATTTTTATACGTAGGAATATCCGTTGGAATAGCTATTCCAACGGAAAATATAAAGAATTCCAACGAAAAATTTCCGTTGGAATGTAAGGGTGTTTTTTGTAGTGGTTTTTATATATTTGACAAAATTTATAGTAATAAATGCCAATAAATTAACTTTATTTAAAATTTTAATCCAACGTTTTAAAAACTATGCACATTCACAAAAATATAAGATGGCCATTTTAAAAAAATATTATTATTTAAATATGTTTTTTTTTTTTAAGTGATAGACATATCTAATATCTATGTGTATTTTAGTGTAAACTATTCCATTAATGTATATACTCAAATTATTTCGATCTTTTTCTTTAACTAGTAAAGTGCACGTGCGATGCACGTGGTGTCGAATGATTTTCGCCTGGAGTAAGTTTGTAAAATAAATTAATTTATTTATTAAACATATCATTGCATAAATGAAATAAAATATAGAAAAAATGAACACATAAGTGATTTTTTTTATTTACAATTAACATAATGATGTCCTCATATAAAAATAGTGAAATAACGTTTTACAAACTCCAACAAAAATATATAAAAAAAAAACAAATTCCTAATAAAAAAAACACAAAGATTTTCTTCATTTTAGTTTTAACGTTTTCATAAGAACATTCATAGTCGTTGGAGTCTAATACATCAATACTATTGCAAAATTCTTCTTAATTAATTTGGCAAAACGCCAATTTTATTCAAACACTTAAAAAACATTCTGA